CTGAAAACTGGGTCACGAGGGTGAGTTTCTTTCTAGACCTGAAGGGTGGTCGAGGGCCATAGTTTCAGGTTCCTCCAGTCTCTTTCTGACCAGCAAACATAGTCTTTTATTATTATTAAGTAATTTTGAATTTTGTTTCACATTTTTTCCTGCTCTATCTGGGATCCTTTAATCTGATTTCTTTCAGGGCATTTGGTTGTGCTAGGCTGGCACCATCTAGTTCTTCTGGTCTCAGAGTCATGAAGACTGATACTCACATGTTCATTACTGCATAGGACTAATTGATTCCAAGCCTCTTCAATTCTTATTACTCTTCTTTTCATCTGCACATGGAGAGATCAATAGCTTCCCCTTCGATGGCCACTCATGAGTTTTTAATATCTCAGACCCTACTCACCAAGGACGGATGGTAGAACATTGTCTTTGTGGACTGTTACGCCAATTGACTATCGTGTCCTCTGACACTATGATCCTGAGCCCCCAGGCTCAGCTACTCATTGCCTTAAGATGTGTGATTATATCTAAGAAGTTTTGATTGTTTTGTTGTTTTACAATAATGGTCTCATACTGTATCTGTCCTTTTGTGATTAATTTCATTCAGTATAATGTCCTCCAGGTTCATACATGTTGAGGTATTTTGCAGATTCATTGTTATTCTTCAAGGCTGTCTAGTGTTCCATTGTGTGTATGTACCAAAGTTTGCTTATCCATTCTTCTATTGATGGGTACTTAGGCTGTCTCCATCTTTTTGCCATTGTGAATAGTGCTGTGATGAACATTGGTGTGCAAACATCTAACCGTGTCCTGGCTCATATTTCTTGCAGTTATATACCAAATAGAGGGATTGCTGGGTTATAGATATTTCTATTTCCAACTTTCTGAGAAAGTGACCTACTGTGTTCCAGAGAGGTTGAACCATTTTACAGTCCCACCAGCAGTGTAGAAGGGTCCCAGTCTTTCCACACCCTCACCAGCAGTTGTTGTTTTCTGTTTTTTTTGAACTTCACTGTTAATGCTGGTATGAGATGGTATCTCATTGTTTTGATTTACATCTTTTTAATTGCTGGACCCCAAGGTCATTTGATACAACCTTGCTTGCTGAAAGTGAAGAGGACTTAAAATATTTACTGATGAAGATCAAAGATCACAGCCTTCCGTATGGATTGCATTTCAATGTACAGAAAACAAAAATCCTCACCACTGGAGCAATAAACAACATTTCTTATCAACGGAGAAAAGATAAAAGTTGTAAAGGACTTCATTCTTCTTGGATCAACAACTATCAACACTCATGGAAGCAGCAGTCAATAAATCAAAGGACTCATTGCATTAGGCAAATCTGCTGTATAAGACCTTTTTAAAGTGTTGAAGAGCAAAGATGTCAGCTTGAGGACTAAGGTGTGCCTGACCCATGGTATTTTCAATAACTTCATATGCACGGTGAAAGCTGGACAGTGAATACGGAAGATCGCAGCAGAATTGATGCTTTTGAGTTGTGGTGTTGGGGGAGAATATTGAAAGTGCCATGGGCTGCCAAAAGTACAATCAGATTTGTTTTGGAGGAAGTGTGTAGCTAGAGTGCTCCTTGGAGGCCAGGATGGCCAAACTTCGTCTCTCATACTTCAGACTTATTGTCAGGATGGACCAGTCACTGGAGAAGGATATCATGTTTGGTAAGGTGGCAGGTCAGAGAAAAAGAGGAAGACCCCCAGCGAGATGGATTGCCAACATGGCAGCAACAATGGACTCAAGAGTGGAACAATTGTGAGGCTGACCCAGGATCACGCAGTGTTTCATTCTGTTGTGCATATGAGTATCTACTCGATGGCACCTAACAACAACAAAGGTCATTTGAATCTCAAGGTTAACTGTTCAAATTCACCAGCGGCCTGTATAGGAAACCCCTATGCAGGGTTGCTAGGGGTCGGAACAAACTTGACAGCACTTAACAATAACAACAAAGGATTGTAAACATTTCTTCATGTTTGTTGGCTGCCCGAGTGTCTTCCTTGGCCATGTCTATTCATGTCTTGAGCCCATTTTTAAATTGGGTTGTCTTTTTTTTTATAGAGTTGTTGTAGTTTTTAAAATAAATTTTAGACATTAGTCCCTTGTCTAATAAGTCATGTTGTATAAAAGGATTTTTCCCAATCTGTGGGGTCCCTTTTTACTCTTTTGGAGACAACTTTTGATGCACCTAACTTTCTAATTTTTAGGAGGTCCCAGTATGAATTCTCTTTTTAAAAATATACAGATTAACATAACACAAAATATTGTCTACAATTTTAGGACTTGCATGAACTTTGGAACTCATCCATGGATTCCAAGTTAAGTATTACTCAACCTGTCATTTCTCCCAAGAGACAACCCAGTCTTCAGCCCTATTTTAGGATATAGGTAAGTTTGGAGGCAACTTCTGAAAGTATCAGTAGGCATTTTAACACTTTGCAAAATTTTACTTTGCAAACTAAAAAGTACAGAGAAATTGCTGATGTGATGGGAGATACCATATTCTGGATTTTAAGGAGGCTGTCATGGACACTACAAATAATGGTTTTTGACCACAGACATAGTTGAATCATTCAGAAAATATTTATTGCCACTGGTATTTACAGGCACTGTGCCAGGAACTGAGCTGAAAGATAAATAAAACACCATTTCTCTCCTTGATGAGACAAAACATGAATGCAGTTATTAGTGGTCTTAAAAGAAAAGTCATATGAGTTTGAAAGGAATTCTGGGGCGATGTAAAGGGCCAATTGTTATTGTTAGGGGCCATGGAGTTGGCACGGACTCATGGAGACCGGTTGCACAACAGCACGAAACTCTGCCAGATCCTAGGCCAAACTCACAACTGTTGTCATACATGAGTCCATTGTTGCTGCCACTTTGCCAATCCATCTCCCGGGGGTCTTCCTCTTTTTCGCTGACCCTCCGTCTTACCAAATTATGATATCCTTATCCAGCAACTGGTCCCTTCTGACATGTCCAAGGTATGAAAGACGAAGTTTGGCTATCCTTGCCTCCAAGGAACACTCTGGCTACACCTTTTCTAATATAGATCTGTTTGTTCTTTTGGCAGCCCATGACACTTTCAATATTATTCAAAATAATTCAAAAGCATCAATTCTTCTGCGGTTGTCCTTATTCACTGTCTAGCTATCGCATGCATATGAGGTTATTGAAAATACCATTCCAGAGCTTGCAATTTAATGTTTGGTTTATCTGCATCCTAGACACCAAGTTGCCAAGGATTTCATTTTACTTGGATCCACAATCACTATCCATATAAGCAGCACTCAAGAAATCAAAGGAAGCTTCATTGGGCAAATTGGCTGCAAAATACCTCTTCAAAAAGCAAAGATAAAACTTTGAAGACTAAGGTGTTTCTGACTCAAGACAAGGTATTTTTAATCACCTCATATGCATATGAAAATTGAACAATAGGAAAGACTGGAGAAAAACATATGCGTTTTTGCATTATTGTTAAGTGCTGTTGAGTTGGTTCTGACTCATAGTAATGCAGTACAGGGTTTCTGAGAAGCCAGTGGTGAGTTTGAACCGCCAACCTTGTGGTTCAACCTGACCTTGCAGTCCTGCGCTTATCCTACAGTGCCACACCAGAAGTGTGAAGAGTATTGAATATAATACACCATGGAATGTCAGAAGAATCCACAAACCTGTCTTGGAAGATGTATTGTCAGAATACTCCTTAGAATGGAGGTTGATGAGTTCCTTTCAAGTACTTTGGACATGTTATCAGGAGGGGCCAATCTCTGGAGAAGGCCATCATGTTTTGTAGCTAAGAGGAAGACCCTCAAGATGAATTTACACAGCGACTGCAACCAGAACTCAAACACAGCAAAGATTTTGAGGATGACACAAGACTGGGCAGTGCTTTCCTTTGTTGTACATAGGGTCACTAAGAGTTAGAATCCACTAGCAGCCACCTTAACATAACCAGCTTGGCATATCACCCAATTTGTGATTGGAGTTAACAGGTGAGAATTGTTGCATTTCTTCAAATACATGATCTTTTTAAAAACAAAAAACAAAAACCACTGCAAAACATGAATTGTTGTTGTTGTTAAGTGCCACCAAGTCGGTTCCGACCCATAGCGACCCTGTACAGGGTTTCCGAAGGTGTAAATCTTTGCGGGAGTAGAAAGCCTCATCTTTGTCCCGCGGAGCGGCTGGTAGTTTCGAACCGCTGACGTTAAGGTTCGCAGCCCGATTCGTAACCACTACGCTACCAGAGCTCCTTAAAAAACATGAATTAGGAAATGATAAAATAAGTAGCGATCCTGGTGGGGCGCTGCGGGTTAATGCGCTAGACTGCAAGGTCCGTTTGAATCCTAAGGTCAGCGGTTCAGGCTCACCAGTCGCTTCTCTGAAACCCTATACAGGGTCGCTACTGGTCGACTCGATGGTACTTAATAACAGCCGCTTCTGGTGTGGCACTGTAAATCGAAAGGTCAATTTGAACCACAAGTTCGGCGGTTCAAACCCACCAGTCACTCCTCGGATACTGTATACAGGGTCGCTTAACAACAAACAACAGGCTTATTAAAAGGGATAGTTGCGAGCGTCAGTCTTTTTTTATGAGCGAGACAAGCACTCCCACGGTTCTATCGCCACAACGGCGCCTAGCACGCGGTTGAAACTCGCTTAATTAACCCTCCCAGATAGATCCAAGTTCCGCTTCCGCAGGCAGATTTTTTTCTAGTACGCGTGTACGCAGGTCGTCCGACGCACAGAAGCGTCGGCCCCTGCCCCAAGCGCATGCTCCTGAGGAGAGGCGGAGACCGGAAGGGCGGGGGAGTGGCGAGGCGTCGCTGCGGGCCGCCTCTCTCAGTAACTCCGCGTTGAGTCGGAGGCGCGCGCGCGCTCGTTCGCGCGACTGGCTGCGTACAGTAGTGACGGCCGCGCGGGAGCGGTCACATGACCGTAGCGGCTGCCTGTACAGTAAGAACCCAATATGGCAGCGGCGGTAGCAGTGGCAACGGCAGCAGGAGGACCGGCCGCCCTGTAGACCCCCCCGCGCACCACCCCTGCTGCTTCCTCTGCTTGGGTGCTTTTCCGGCCTGACTTCCCCTTTCTCCTATCTTTCCCGGCACCGCGGGAAAAACAGCGCAGGGCAGAACAGGCAGGGAGGGCGGTCGGAGCCCGGACACGGGAGCCTCCCAGTCAGTTCAAGACCCGACATGAGGGAAAAGGGCCGTAGGAAGAAGGGCAGGACCTGGGCGGAGGCCGCCAAGACGGTAAGGGGGAGGGAGCAAAGGGGAAGGCTGGGAGGATTTAGTCCCCTTGCCACCCGCCAGTCGCAAGGGAAAGGGAGGTCACTGGCTCAGGGACCCAGCTGAGGGGGCACAAAACCGCGCTCAGAGGGCGACGGTTAATGTCGGGGCTGTGCTCCCTCTGGGAATGGAGGCGCCCTGCAGAAAGGGATCGCGGCGGGGCTGTGACTTCTCCCAGCAACAGCGACGAGTCTTCTTGGTGTTTTGAGGCTGTCTCTCAGGGTCAAGTCACTATCAGCCCCACACTGTGCTCGCTTCTTACCCGGCACAGCGAAATCTGTTGTGCTTGCATAGTAACCGGTGCTTTTCCCGTGTGCGGCTGAAGAGCCCCCATTGGATGCAGATAGGCGAAGGCTTGTGTGTGCATCCAGCCCCGGAAAGGGGACCGCAGGAGCTTGGTAGAATTTGCCCGCTAGAACAGACTTGCCGCCGGCCTCCGCTCCTTTGCTTATCTGGGCTCTTAGATACGGCGTGAAATCACGAGGCTTTTGTTTTTGTTTGCTGTTGGAGCTGAAAGTGCGGGAGGTGTTTAGAAACGAAGTAACAGGTGGGACTTGTAGAATTTTTTTTTTTCAGTTTCCGTAGAGACCTACTCTGAACAAGGCAGCAATGCATGGTGGGATATGTAGTTTACCCGGCCTTTACTTTTGCGTCGCTAAATGTTGGTCTAACGAAGTTGTAGTTTGTGGGTAAAACAGTTCTTTGCGAATTTTGTTATAGAGTATTCCAGAGATAGGTTGAAGGCATAGAATATGGAAAATTAGCGTGAAATTTTACTGTGTTTTAAGCAAAAGTAAACGATCTCATGTAGGTACAAATAAAACAGGAGAAAGTGAAGTTCATTCCAATTCTTGAGAGTGCAGTAGAAAATAATAGGACATTAAGCAGTAGTGGTTCAGTGTTGGGAAATAAGAAGGTGTGGACATTATCCTTAATGGTGAATCGTGAAGAACCCTTCTAAACTAATCTATATCAGTTATGTGGTCTATTTTTTAAATGAAGTTTTTCCTGAATGCAAAAGTAGTAAATGTTAACTGTGGAAAGTTGCAGAATTATCGAAACTTTTAAAAAAGAAAAAAGTCATTTATTTCACGCCTCAGCTGTATTAATGTTTGGTGTACTACCATCTAATCTTTTAAATTAATTTTTCCAAATTTGAGTCATATTGTTATTCAGTTTTATGCATTTGTTTTGTAAACTTTACACATTATTGGGTTGACAAGTCTTAAACTTGAATTTCTGTTTAGTTGGAAATGGGAGAAAGTTGGTAAAAAAGTAATAAAACTTTTATTTATTGTTTTCAGATATAACATATCTTTATAATTGTGATTATGCTGGTAGTTTCCCTCTAAAAGATAAAACTCTAGAAATAACTTATTTGGTACCAGGAAGGAGGTTGCTGTTTTAGAAAAGGATTATTTTATTTTCTTCTGTAAGACCTCTTTCTGTTACTAAAAGAAGCATGGTAAATTTTAATTATCGGTAAGCAAACCTCACCTCCTGATTATGCTAATTACTGTTAAGTCTTTAGAATTTAAGAATACTTTTGAGTTCTCTCTTTGTATAAAATAGTTTAAACATGGAGTTGTAACAAATAGGAAAGGTGTCTGCATGTTTATAATTGACATTTCATGCTTAGTGAGAAATATTTAAAAGATGGAAATGCTAGTTTGATCAGTAGAGTTCAGGATGAGTTTCTGATCAGTGTATTTGTGGCTTGGTATTTTTATTCGATTCTCACAAATACCAGTTTTAAGTAAAAATAAATTTTAGAGAATGATGATACCAACACCTTCCCTGCCCCAAATAGTTGAAAATTTGGAAAACACCCCTTCTTTTTGTTTTTGTTTATCATCCTCTCTGAAATGAAGGTGTTAAAATAAACCTCAAGGTTTAAAAGATTTCTGTTTGTAGGAGAAATAGACAAAGTAAATCTTTTCAGAATAATGAAATCATAAAATCAGTAATTTGACAAATAAAAGTAATTTTGACCTAAATTAAGAAATAGTGCATATACTTAGAAGTTCAAGAGATTGAGGAGAAGGGGTGTTAAGGCTTAAATTTATTTCATAGGCATTAAGGTCAAGTGTTACAGGAGCAGAGTTTTAACAAGGAAGAATATGCTTTACAAATCCAGGAAATATCTGCTGCTTATTTCCTTGTGTCTTTGGTACTTGCATTATATAGCTGTAGTGTGTTGTTGCTGTTGTTAAGTGCTGTCTAGTCAGTTCTGACTCAGTGACCCTGTATAGGGTTTCCAAGGAGCAGCTGGTGAGTTTGAACACTAAGAGTCCACCATGTGTTTAGGGAGCACTATTAAAATGGGGTTGTATTTCTAACCAATAATGTGAAAACAGGTTTATTCAATAAGTTTGTGTGTGGAGATACACATTCATGAGAGTCCTGTTGTGGTGCTGTGGGTTAATGCGCTGGATGACAAGGTTGGTTTGAATTGCAAGGTCAGTGGTTCAGGCTCACTTTGAAACTCTGTACAGGGTAGGTATGAGTTGGAACGAACTCATTGGCACTTAACAACAACAGGATGCATTCACATACATATGTACATATAGGTATATGTGAGGCAATGTCACAATGTTCATGGAAAAATGGAGTTAAAAGATACTGGAATTTTTCTGTGAACTCTTTGAAGCTCCCTTATATAGACACCTATTCCTCAGGTATCAATTGACATGGTTTGATTTCAAAGACCAGATCACTATACAAAAATCGGTGTTAAGCAAAAATGGAGGATGATCACAGCAGATGGATCACAAAATGTAAGATGACTGCATTTTTACATAATTGACAAATTACATCATTACTGTCAAACTGCTTAGAATTAAGGCCCAGCCAAATTGACACTTAACCTTAGCCATCACAGCCAGCCAGAATTACTCTCACCTTTCACCTTGGCATCTATTACTGCCAGATATAAGTTGTTAATGCTTAAAATAGATAGTTGAATTTTTACTAAAAATAGTTGGATAGTAGAATTCTTACTGTTGTAAAAATGTGAAATGTTGGATAATGAGATCGTAGATAAATAAGGAGTATATATAAATAAAATGCAAGTGTGTGTGAGTATATAAGATTCTTTTTAAAAAGGCAAAATAATAGGACTCATAATGATTATATAATAGCAATATACTGTCAAAAAAGACTGATAAATTGAACCTAAATGTAGACAAACTTTAGGCTGGTTAGGTGGCTGCTAACCCCAGTAGGCTGGCAGTTAAAACCCACCAGTTGCTAAGTGGGAGAAAGATGTGACAAACTGCTTCCATAAAGAGTACAGCTTTGGGAGCCCAGGGGTCAGAACTACTCAGCCCTACATGTTCACTATGAGTAGGAATCCATTAGAAAGCAGTGGATTTTTCGTTTTATAGACTGGTAGGTTAATGTGTTGGAATGCAAAGTTGATTTGAACCACAAGGTTGGTGGTTCAAGCTCACCAGCTGCTTGGAATTGACTCCATGGCACTTAACAATAACAGCAAAAAAATCGAAGCGAGAGGGGCTGTGGACCCGAGATTAAGCTGAACTTGATTGCATCTTACTACATTGGACTGTCTCTGTGGTGTGGTGTTGTAGGATCAGCACTGGACTGCAGTTCAAACCCACCAGCTGCTCCTAGGAAATTGTATGCAGAGTCAGAGGCACTTAACAACAACTACAGCAAGAAAAATTAGCTACAGGTAGTAACTAATTTGTGGTGGCGTTCCTTTCTGACAATTCTATTCTAAATGGGTTCTGATGGAAGTTGAATACCTCTTTTTTAAAATTTTACATTTCATTATTATTGCCTTTATTATCAGTATCTTTATAAATCTGATCTTTTGTCTTTGCAGATTGTAACATTGCATATAGATATAAGATCATTTTAATATATACGAGCATGTCCCAGAATACCCATCATAAAAATTTACTCTGATGATGAAAGAGTTGTATGTCAGTGTTTTGCAATAACTCTACTTGTAGAAGGCTCTGTATCATCCCTGGGAACGGGGATGGTTGGTGTTTCTAGTCAGGAACTTAATGAGAATTGTCTTTGTGGCCCTGTTTTCTTTATTGATCATATAGACATCTTACTGCTCCCTGAATCTGCTTGTTGTTAGTACAATGACCAGCATATGGGTCCATGTTTTCAAGCAACTAACACCCATGATTTAGTTGAGAAAAAAGTCCAGCTAATCTTTTCACTGTGAAATTCTTTGACATTACTTTCCTTCCTCATTATTTCCTTTTTCATCATTTCTTTTCTCTTCTTTTCAGAATCCATTAAAATTAACTCTTGATTTTTCAGTTCTTTATGATCTATGAGCTGTTTCGTATTGATGACATCATGTTATAAATCCAGTATTCTTGCCATATGGACAATTTTCCCACCAATCTCGTCCATCATATTGGTGGTGGTATGCCACTGAGTCAGTTCTGACTTAACAGCGACCTTGTATAGGCTTTCCGAGGTTGTACATCATTAGGAAAGCAGCAAACCTCCTCTTTTTCCTGCAGAGCGACTGGTAAGAGTCGAACTACTGACCTTGCGGTTGGCAGCCCAGCAGTTTAAATTAAAATAATTTCTGATAAGTCAGAGATATTGAGAACCATTACATTGACTTTAAAACTATGTTCAATTAGGCATGTTCTTTTTATAAATATTTGGTAGCATCCATGAGGAATTTGGAGTCCTGGTGTGGTACAACAGGATAATGCGCTAGACCACATGCCACTTTGAACCTCATGGTCTGTGGTTCAAACTTATCAGCTGGTCTGTGGAAACCCTATCTATACAGGGTCACTATGGGTTGGAACTGACTTGACAGCACTTTAACAACTTGACAACACTTTAACAAAAAATGATTAATTTAGCTGCTCTTTTTATAAAGCAGAACCTCTGAAATAACAGTCTTGTTGATCTTGTTTTCTTTGTAACTTTTCTCACCCACAATAACTAGGCAAGTGTTG